AACGGTAAGAGGTGTTTTTTTTTTTTCTTTTACTCTTGCGGACCAACAATCAACCATCTCTCTCCACAGGAGGCATGAACGTCAGTCAGGCCAAAGCTTTGGTCTTGTTTTGTTGGGGTTTTCCAATCGACTCTACGAGGCTTTTCTCTGCGAGAGGTGCTATGTGAGGAGTCGCCGATTGTGTTCAGGGCCCTGGTTCTTGGTTCTCTTTACGTCTCTTTGGCGAAAATGGGCTCAGGAGTTAACTCCCGACGTGGACGCTTGGCGCGCTGTCCGTGTGCCATGACTGTTGATGCTATCACAGGCCACCGCCGTATAGTGCCATGATACGTCTTGCTATGAGGTACGCGTACGATATTATCCCCGGCGGAAGCTGTTGTGTCCTAGAAGCACTCACGCGGTTAGCTATGTAAGTACACGCTGCCGTAGTAGGATCTTCTGAAACGTAGATAGTATTAGCCTGGGCCGGCGAAAGCCGGCATATCTCTCCGTCCCAGCATTGTAGGGATGCGAGGGCCATGGTCGAATGACTAAATACGGCATGCACGACTATGTGTACGTACCCCGCGGCACATTTTCTGCACCCATCTTTTCCTCGCACTGCAGCAGCAGCAGCGCAGACCCCCTTCACCTTGCCTCACTCTCTGTTTCATGTCTCCCTCCCCGAATGATGACCAGCTTCTGGTTTAACCTTGTGAAACGTAGGGCGGCGAAAACCCTTCATATCGCTCCATCCCGGCATTGAAGGGATGCGAGGTCATTGGCCTAACGACTACGGCAATGCGTACCCCCCCCCCCCCCCTCCCCCAACCGAACCAGTTGTGCCGTACTTGTGGGGGGCGCGGCCACTGAGTTTTTTGCGGGCGGGGGCCCCTCCTGACAACGTGGAAATTGAAGACGGCGACAAAGAGGAGAGCGACGAGAGCGGCGAGGGCGACAAGGAAGCGGCAGCGGCGGCCGAAAAAAAGGCCTTCGAGGAGGGGAAGGGGAAGGCGAAGGCGTTGATGGACCCCCCCGACGAGTTCAGGGCAAAGCAGGTATGTATGCATGCATGCAGGTACATATATGGGTGTTTTGTCCCGACCCCGCCCCATGCCCCCCCCCCCCCTACTGGAGCACGCTACACTTTTCGCTGGGGCGGTGAGTATCGAGACCTCCGCCAAGAATCCCATCTCCCTACGCGCCCGGGTTTGTTGCTCTTTTTCTTCCTCTCTGGACACGTCTCCTGATAGACGGAACAAACTCGGGTCGTTTTCTGCTGGGGGTGAGGGGGGGGCGTACTTATGTTTTGGCATGCCTTAGCGGTTAAACCATTGAACGGGGGGGGATTTTTTTGTAAATCACGATGTCAAGGGAGGCAGTTGGTGCAGCTCTCGGGATTCGCTCGCCAGGTGGTCCGTTTTTGTTTCTTTTCCAATTCGAGTCAAGACAGCATCACTCGAGGAGATGTGCCGGCAGTATGACGATCTGAAAGGTCATTTTGTGGCGTTTCTGCCGCACAGGTATTATTTCCTTCTGCAGGGTACAGAGGTATAACCCAGGTAGGTACGACTCAGCACTAGGGTGCAGGCAACCGTTCCTGTCGTTGTCTATGCCCAGGTGATTTATTGTGTTCACCTTTCAAGGACAACGAGTTCTCGGACATGTTTTTGTATTTTGGCTGTCCATGCGATGCGAAGGTGTTGGCCCAGTCTCCACGTTCAGTTTCTCGGCATTGGCATGCAAAGCACCCTGGTGCTCGAAAGTCGTTTTGATGTGCCTCGTTTTCGTCTGGGACGACGCAAGTGTACTACTCACTACTGTACGTCATCGCTACTATCCCGGACACGTTGTCTGTGGATACAGATGTTCTCGAAAGAGAGAAAAATAAACAAGCAGCGACAAGAAACGACCCTTCCTTGTGTAAATGTCAACGCCGAACAAAAAAAAAAAACGACCGCCAGGTGGCGGAAGGGCTGCCCGCGGACACGCCGCTTCCCCCGTTTTTCTTGCGCGACCTCGAGGCTAACAAGGCCAAGGAGGCGGAGGCGGAGAGGGAGAAGGAGAGACAGGCGGTGCGGTCGAGCAACCCTTACATGCAGCAGGACGGGCTGCCCAAGTTCGAGACTATCGCGCCGGAGGCTGCGAAGGAGGTCGGTGTGTCGTTGTAGGCGCGATGTCGTTGTTGTTGTTGTTGCCTTCTGTAGAGGTTGGCGTGTTGTTGTTGCATGCGCTTATAACTCTACTGTTGTTGCCGTTGTATTGTGTGGTGGGCCCGGTAGATGGGTGTTAGCTGCTGTCGAGCGGGAGCATCACACGCCGGAGGATTCGAAGGAGGTCGGTGTGTTGCTGTTAGTGCGTGCACTTATACCTTCGTCATTGTTGTTGCTGTCTTCTGTAGAGGTTGGTGTGTCGGTGCAGGCGCTATAGCTTCGTCTTGCTCTTCTGTAGTTGGCCAGCTGGATGGGTGTTCGCTGCTGTCGATTTCAGGGTAAGCGAAAAAAAGCCCGAGAGATCGGACGCAACATTTTCCAGTATGGGCGAACACAGCAGTGCGACGAGGCGCTCCTGACAAGGGACTTGTCTTCGGAGCGTGTCTCGCGAGTATCTACGGTGTATCTCGGGGTCGAACCAGCGGGAAAGTTTTGTCCCTAGCAGGTTGCCGTTCGGGGGCGGGGAGGAGCAACGCAGAGCCGAACGTTGAGCATACAGCCTTGAATCGGCAAAAAAGTAGCGCAAAGTGTTGGTTTTGCGAAACATTCAGACCTGGCGATCAGGAAATGATCGCCGCAATGATCCGTCCACTGTGCGTGCCCTCCTCTCCTCCTGCGGGAGAAGTTGCGAGCCTGACGACCAATTTCGTTTTCTCCTCACGACGAGCTGAGGGTATGAGGGGAGGACGTTTGCGAGTACGTCGCGCGGTGGGAGGGTGCGTACGTCCTGGGGAAGTTCCGGAGAACGCCCCGGGAAAGTTCCGGAGTACGTTATTCCCACTGGTAGAAACCACTTCCCGGGCTTGTTATCGGCAGCCTCCCTCAGATAGTCCACAGACTTGTTTTTGACACGGCATGTTACACCTCCTCGGGCAAAAACTCGTGGGGGCGCACGCAAATCCCCGCCCCCCGCCCCCCCCCCCGATGCCAAAACGCGACGTGCTCCGTACCGTTTTTTTGTGGTTGTTTTTTGTGGCCTTACGTGATGATAACCCACACACGCACACACACAACGGTCTTTTCATTGGTCAGCCTGTTAGCGCGGTCGATGCTAGTAATAAAGACGCACGCAACGGTTTCCGTCCGCGCGTCTCAGCTGTACCGACCCGCAGATTGCATCGCATCTCTGCTTCCCCACCGCATCTCTGTGTCGTCGTTCTCTGTTTGTCTTACCGTGTCCACCGCCTCTTGATTCTCACGCATGGTATTTTTTTTTCAGGCGTTCGACGTTTTGCTGGAGGACCTTGAGACGGGTTTCGCCAAGTTTGAGGAGGATCTCGTTGACTTCACGTCCGGGGAGTCTTGGGTGAGAGAAGGCTACTCTTCACGGAGAGAAACGGACAGACACAGACAGACACAGACGGACAGGCAGGGGGTGGGCGGGCTCGGAGCAAGTAGAGGAGCGGAAGACCGACAGAAAGACAGAGACAGACAGGCAGACAAAAAGATAGGCAGATAGTTAGATAACACAGACGGAGGGTGGGATAGACAGATAGTTAGATAACAGGGACGGGGGTGGGGGAGGGGGG